AGTGCTGAGTGTGCACCTGTGTGTCGGGGACCCCTCACCACCTTCCTCACCTGGCTCAGTCACCAAGACCACCGCAGGCCCCGCTCTGCTTCTTCAGAATTCCCGCTTTCCTATAGTACTGAGCTCCTGCCAGGGGTGATGGGCTCGGGACCCTAGGCTTGTGGGGACACTGAGGCCCGAGGGGACAGGGATTGCTGGAGCCACATGGCACACTCCAGGGAGGCCGAGATGGGGGTTTCCCTGGCTGGGGCAGGGTGGGGACTCTGGGCTGTGAGCACAGTCATGAGTCAGAAGGAGCCAGCAGCCAGCACCCAACATCCGGCCATGCAGGCCCTCCCCAGGCAGGATGCGGGGTGGGGGTGGGGAGCTGGGGCTGGGGAGGGATGCTTCCAAGCAATGTTCCTGGTTTTAAAATTTTATTTTGTTTTCATTGTATTTGTTGTTTTTTTTTTTTTTAGATTTTTATTTATTTATTTGACAGGTAGAGTTACAGACAGTAAGAGAGACAGAGAGAAAGGTCTTCCTTCCGTTGGTTCACTCCCCAAATGGCCGCTATGGCCAGCGCTGCGCCAATCAGAAGCCAGGAGCCAGGTGCCTCCTCCTGGTCTCCCATGCGGGTGCAGAAGCCCAAGCACTTGGGCCATCCTCCACTGCCCTCCCGGGCCACAGCAGAGAGCTGGCCTGGAAGAGGAGCAACTGGGACCAGAACCCAGCACCCATATGAGATGCTGGCATGGCAGGCAGAGAATTAACCTAGTGCGCCACAGCGCCAGGCCCTTTCATTGTATTTGAAAGGCACCCACTGCTTCACTCCCCAAATGCCCACAACAGTCAGGGCTGGGCCAGGCTGAAGCCAGGAGCCAGGAGCTTCTTTCGGGTCTCCTACATGGATGCAGGGGCCCAAGCACTTGGGCCATCATTGCTGTCTCCCAGGTGCATCAGCAGAGAGCTGGGACTCGAACCCAGGCACTCTGCTGTGAGACACAAGCATTGCAAGCACTGCACAAGATGCCGTTCAGAGAAGCCCAAATTTGGGATTTAGCTTCTGAGAAGACTGGTGTCAGGTGGAGGGTGCAAAGGGACAAAAGGGGTCACTTTTGGCATTATTTTTTTATTTATTGGACAGATAGAGTTAGGCAGTGAGAGAGAGAGACAGAGAGAAAAGTCTTCCTTCCGTTGGTTCACTCCCCAAATGGCCGCTATGGCCGGAGCTACACTGATCCGAAGCCAGGAGCAGGTGCTTCTTCCTGGTCTCCCATGTGGGTGCAGGGCCCAAGCACTTGGGCCATCCTCCACTGCCTTCCCGGGCCACAGCAGAGAGCTGGACTGGAAGAGGAGCAACCAGGACTAGAACCCGGCGCCTATATGGAATGCTGGCGCCGCAGGTAGAGGATTAACCAAGTGAGGCACTGCGCTGGTCCCACTTTTGACATTCTGTAGCACAGTGGGGTCACTGTAGTTCACAATAACTCATTGCATATTGCAAAACAGCAACAGAATTTTGAATATTTCCAACACAAAGAGATAGGTGGTAGATGCACTGGTGGCTCTGATCTGCTCATTGGGTGTCATATACATTGTATCAGTATGTATGTACAACAACAGTGTATCAGTTTTTATTTTAAATTTATTTATTTGAGAGGTAGCGTTACAGACAGTGAGAGGGAGAGACAGAAAAGTCTTCCTTCTGCTGGTTTACTCCCCAAATGGCGTCAATGGCCAGAGCTGCACCGATCTGAAGCCAGGAGTCAGGTGCCTCTTCCTGGTCTCCCCTGTGGGTGCAGGGGCCCAAGCACTTGGGCCATCTTCTACTGCTTTCTCTGGCCATAGCAGCAAACTGGAGTGGAAGAGGAGCAGCTGTGACTTTGAACTGGCGCCCATATGGGATGCTGGCACTTCAGGCCAGGGCTTTAACCTGCTGCACCACAGCACTGTCCCCACTGTATCAGTTAAAAAAAAAAAAATTAAGACATCTCCCCCTGGATTTGACAAGTCTATTACCTCCTCCTTTCCACCAATTCAAATATATACCTTTTCCTTCCTTCTAACACCATGCCAGAAGTTGGAGACATGGGGTCAGCTCCGTAAGGGGGAGTGGGTGAGAAGGGAGGGTCCTTTCCAAGGCGCGCAGGGTTCTGTCCTAGGTGCTGAGCTTCTTCAGTTAGCACTGTGGCTGGGACTCTGCACCAAGCCCCTGGTAAGGCTGGGATTAGAGCATCACTGGGCTTGAGTTGAAGCTGGGGATCCCAGCAGAGGGGTCCTCATGGCTGCAGCCCCACATTGTTCCTGCGAATTTGGGATGTAGGATGGGTGGTGAGTGAGGCTCGCTCAAAAAGAGAACCAGCATATTCAGATCTGATGCTCACATCCGCATTGGTTTCCTGTTTTTCCCCCAAAAGTGTGCAAGAGGAGAAGGTGGTCAGGGGCGGGTGTGTGGCCGGGCCTGCCTGGGTCCCCAGAGTGTCCTCTTGTCCAGCTTGGACTGAGTGTTGGGACCCAGCAGGTGGTGACCTTCCCAGACCTGGAGGGTCTACATGGGACCCTGGCAGGTGCACCTAGGCTTCGGACCTCTGAGAAGCACCAACTCCCTCCATCCACGTCCTCCATCCAGCTCCCCCGGGACTTGTTCCCCAGAGTCTGGGGCAGCTCAGCTGAGTCCCACCCTCACATCATGTCCCCCAGCAGCTCGCTTCTCTCCAGCCCCTGAGCAGCTGCCATCTGCGGCCCCCAGAACTGGATAACAGCCCTTGCTAGGGCACCCCTGAGCTAGCCTCTAATGACACTGCACCTGCTTAGTCCCTGTGACAGCACCCCCCTTCCTGCCTTGTCCTGAAAATACAGACCCTCCTGGGTCTTCCCTCCCTCCTGGTCCCCAGAGCAGCCCCCTCCCCGTGTCACACACACACACACACACAGCCTCCCGCTGCCCTCTGCTCTCCCAGCAGGGGCCCCCACACTCACCTGATGACTCCGCCCAACCTCGGCCACGTGCCAGGCACTGCCTTGGACCCGTGATGGCCCAGACTGAAGCTTGAGAGGGACCCTGGAGGGGTTGGGGGATCAGGATGAACAGGCTCAGCCCACCAGAGATATTCATCCAACAGGAGTGTCCAGAGGTCCCCTGGATCCACGGTGGCAGAGGAGGCCACGTGGTCCTTGCTTCCTAGGGTGCGGCTTTCAGGGGACGTTCCTGCCAGGTCCCTCCTCATGGTGGGGACTGAGGTCAAGCTGCAGCCTGCCTGGATGGGGCACACAGGCGACGTCCTCCGCAGTGAGGGGCGGCCCCTCCAGGGACGCAGACTCAGGAGAAGGACCCTCCCCTGTAGCTGAGAGTGCAGAAGGGATCCAGGGAAGAAAAGCACAGTGGACCGAGACTGTCGGGGGTCCATGTAGGGCAGCACAGCAGTGTGGGCTGCAGGTGCCCAACCCCTGCGGTTTGGGTTCAAATCCACTTGTGAGCTGTGTGACCTCAGGCAAGCTGCTAAGCCTCTCTGTGCCCACACAGCTTCACTCGTAAGCCAGCACTGGAAGCCAAAGCATTGCGTGCCCAGGGTGCAGGTGAAAACTAAGTGTGCTGAGGCACAAATAATTGAGCTTCCGAATCGCACAAGGCAACCATTGATGGACACTGGGCTCGGGTGGGGGCCCCTGTGTCTTTTGTGCTGTGCCCTCCTTGCTGGCCCCAGGACACAGTCACGCCTGTGGTTCACTTCCTGGCTCTGGAACTTACCTCCTCCCGTGCCTTTGGCCCCCGGGTTTGCCTCCGTGAGCCCCGTGGATAATAATAGCGTGGACTTCCCCGTGTGTGTGCCACACACACGGGTATCCGGTGGCAAGCCCAGAATTAGGTCTGTGGAAGCAGAAGTGGTTGGCGAGACCACTTTCAGAAGAGAACTTCCCTTGTGGGGCTTGAGCCTTGGTCCTGTGCCTCCAGGGTCTGGACGCCACCTGGTACCCCCCAGCACCCTCTCCGGCCCCACACACCAGGATTGAGGGACACACTCCAAAGCCATGTGAGTGCACGTGTGGCCGCAAGTGGCCGTGTGTGGCTGTTGTCCATGGGTGTGTGTGTGTGTGTATGTGTCGGGGGTTGCACAGGTGGGGAAGGGAGGTGGGCAGGACTGGGAGGCGTGTGTGCAGGTGTCCACTCTGGGGACGTATGGGCCGTCCATCTGCTGTGACTGAGCAGATGAGCATAATGTGTTGCTGGCGGCTGTGCGTGGAGGGCCCTCGGAAGCCATAGACGGTTACAGGCAGGGGCAGGAGCTCGGGTTGGCAAGATGGGCTGGTGTTGGGAAGCTGGCAGTCTGGCACTCAGCAGCCAACACCCTACCATGAGGCTGTGTCCTCGGATGCAAGAGCAAACAGGACTCAAGGTCAAAATCCCAGTCTCAGAGGTGAGTACGTGGCTGGCCCTCGTGGTCCCACACTGTCACAGGGAGAGGCAGTGCAGAGAGAGGGGCCCCACAGCACCCATCTTCTAACCAGGTACCTGCTCCGGGCCAGTGCTGTGGCTCACGCCCAGTTTACAGATGTGCAGATCGAGTCACTCACCCCCGGAGAGGCTAGGACTCAGGCCCGGGTCTGGTCAGCTCGGGCTCAGGAAGCCCAGCGGCCCTGGGACGATGACATCTCTGGCCTCCTCCCGCGATGGCTGAAGGTCTGGCTGCCCCGCACCCCCATGCCCCCTGAGGCTCAGAGAGGGCAAGCAACCTGCCCATGGTCATCCAGCAAGGGGAGGGTGACAGCCAGTGAACCCTGGGCCTGCTGGCTAGCACAAGTAGGTGCATTGAGAAGGACTGAGTTCAAGGACACAGTGCGTGCCTGAGCAGTGGAGAAGGCTGAGGCCCAGGAGACGGAGTCTCTGTATGTCCCAAGAGAACGTGGTACACAATAGGTGCCTGATAAATGCATAGGATCTGAAGACCCACTGTGTGCAGCCCTCAGCTGAAAGCCTCACACTTGAGGGGGCTTCGGATAACTCCTGGAAAACAAAGTCAAGAGCTCAGTTCATTTTGGTGCCAAAGACTTGGGACATCCACGCCTGCGAGAAGGCTCCTAAAGTTCATGAAAAATGTGTGTTATGGATTACTTGGAAATTATGGGTTTCAAAGCCTTTTGCACCAAAATAAACTACTTTTTAAAAAATTTATTTATTTATTTGAAAGTCAGAGATAGAGAGAGAGAGAGAGAGAGAGAGAGAGAGAGAGATGTCTTCCATCCTCTGGTTCACTCCCCAATTGGCTGCAATGGCCGGAGCTGTGCCGATCTGAAGCCAGGAGCTTCTTCCAGGTCTCCCGCTGTGTGCAGGGGCCCAAGGACTTGGGCCATCTTCTACTGCTTTCCCAGGCCATAGCAGAGAGCTGGATCAGAAGTGGAGCTGCTGGGTCTCAAACCGGCGCCCATATGGGATGTAGGTGCTTCAGGCCAGAGCGTTAACCCACTGTGCCACAGCGCCAGCCGCAACTCTACTTTTTTTTAAAATTTGAGATACACACACACAAAGGGAGAGAGAGGGAGGGAGAAGAAGAGGGAGAGAGAGGGCTCCCATCTGCTGGTTCACTCCTCAAACGTCCATAACAGTTGGGGGTTGGCCAGGCCAAAGCCAGGAGCCAGGAACTCCATCCAGGTCTCTCACATGGGTGTGTGTCATTGCACGGTCCACACTAGCAGGAAGCTGGAATTAGGAGCAGAGCCAGGACTCGAACCCAGCTCTCCGATATGAGACACAGGTATTTTTAACCTGCAGTTTAACCGCCAGACCAAACATCTCAAGAGAATTTCATCCACTAAGTTTCTGAGATCCCCTCCTCATATGTCGTTATCTCGTCTGAGCCTGTCACAGCCTCGGGCCTTCGGTGATATCAACATCCCCATTCTATAGAGGGCAAAGCTGAGCCTCAGGAAAGTCAAGCTCCAGGCCAGGGTTGCACAGGCAGCCACTTGTCTCCCGGCCACAGCATCGCTTCCCGGGAGACTCCGAGAACCCTGCGGGTTGGGGTAGGGGGCATGAGGGGGGCAGGGGAGGCTGATATTTTGGGAGTTTCTGTGCAGTCGTCAGAGGGCATTTCACACGTCCATACACACCCACCACTGCCCGACAGTGCAGAGATTAATGTCATTTCAGAAGAGATTCTGAGGCTCGACTACTAGCCGAGATCTCTCAGCACACTTACTGGACACCTGCTGTGTACCTTGCGGGGAATGGGCTCTGGGTTGCTTCTGGTCCCACATTGGTGGGGGCCTCTCTAGCATCCGTCTTCCACTTGACCTCAATACTGACTCAGGCCCTGGTCCAAACAAAGCAGCCAAGGGTCACTGAGTTCTCTAAGTCCCAGACGTTATCCTGTGCCAGTCACTAGAGCTTGGCGGGTAATCCTAACCAGCCTCATTAAAACCCAGATCTCAGCCAGAGCCGTGACGTGGACTGCCTCAGCAGGTAGTGAGCACCCCATCTCTGGGAGCAACCAAGCAGGGCCACCATGGAGGAGAGTCGATACTCAGGTAGGAGGGCTCGCTGGTGCCACTACTGACCCGAAGCTAGGACCCTGACCTCCAACCCTATAACTTAGAAAAGGAGGGGGTTCCCCAGGCCTTCTGTGGAAAGTAGGGTGAATTTCTGAGAGACTGGGGAGGTGAGCCCCGACCAGCCTCCCTGGCTTGGAGCCAGGTAGGGGAAGGAACTGAGGGCTCCTCCCTTCTCTGACTCAACACCACCGAAGCAAAGCAGGGGCTCGGGCTGGGGCACAGGCAGCCCAGAGTCCAGGCCAAGTGGAGTGGGACGCGGCTTCAGTGGATTCCGCTCGATGGATTCTCAAAGCCAGGGTGAGGGGAGGGGCCGGGGGCTGCAGTGGGGCTTCCTGGTGGAGCTCTGGGGGTCTCAAGTGCCGGGGGTGAGGCCTGGGGGGAGCCGATGTCTGGGAGGGCCTCAAGTGTAGGGGCAGGACGGGACCTGGGGTTTCTGGAGGGGGTTTGGGATTGGGAGCTGCTCTCAGAGTATGGTTGGTCCAGGCGTCAAGCTGGGAGCTGAGGGCTGAAAGGAGGGGAGAGGGGGCCCAGCCCCCGGCCCCAGGTCTGTCTCTGGATGACGACCTGCCGAGGGCAGCGTATGCAGAAGGAAGAGCAGGTGTCGAATGGAGCAGGCAGAGGGCCAGCAGTGTGGACGGACACACGCTGGACAGTCGACGCGGGCTGGGTGACAGCAGCATGTGAGGAAGAGGGGCGGAGGCAGCTTCCTCTGCCCCCCTCACGCCCCCCACCCCACCCCGCAGGGTTCTCGGAGTCTCCCAGGAAGCGATGCTGTGGCCGGGAGACACAGTTGGCGCTGATGGGCCTGGTGACTGCCGCGCTGTGGGCTGGGCTGCTGACCCTACTGCTCTTGTGGCGTGAGGACAGCCCCGGCCCCAACCCCTTAGAGCCTTCCATGTCCCTCCCAGATACTCCCTCGGAGCCCAGCTGCTCCCTCTCATCTGTCCCCTTGATCCCGCCAGCCCCCTCCCATGTTCCACCCACCCGCCAGCATCCCTGCCCCCCACCCAGCGTTGATGGAGTGCGGGAAGCTGGGGACCCTTGACAAGTCCCCTCCTCTCCTCTTCTGCCCTCCTCTCCAGACTGGGACACCCTAAGGGATATGAAACAGCTGGAAGAGGCCGCTGCCCGGAACGGTATGGAGGGGCCGGGGTGGAGGCAGGGGCAGGGGTTCTCGTCCAGCTTCTGCCACTGACCTCTGTGGGAACACCCCTTGCCGGGTCTTGGAACTAAGCTGTGTTCCTTCCACCCTCCAAGGCTTGGTGAGGTGCCTTCTAATAGCATGGGAGGAAGTAGGCGTGATTTCGGGGCTGTGAGCCATTCACAAGCTAAGACTCAGATAGTACCTGTCGCTTGTCTACTCTCTCCTGGGCACCCACGCTCATTCTCGTCGCACCTGTGCCTTCCTCCCTGTGTTTCTGGCTCCCCCCACCAAAAACATGAGAAAGCAAAAGACTGCAGCTGCTGAGTCCATGAGGCCGGAGTGGGGGGTCCCCTGTGCTTGCGGTTTGGGCTGGGTTCAAAGACCAGCCTGTAAGGGTTCTGAGGATGTCTCTGCTCTCCCCTACTGCCCCAGTCTCTCAGGTTTCCAAGGATCTGCAAAGATACCAGGGTGACCAGATGGCCCAGAAATCCCAGGGTGAGCAAGGGGACCTTGGGTGACAGCTCAGGGTCAAGACCACCAGGCCCCCACCACCCCATGACCTGAAACCTGAGCAGGTGACTGTGAGAAGCTAGGCAGAGGGACCGAGGGTGGGTAGAGGGACACAGGGGGACCTTGATGACTCGTTCACCCCTGAGCTGCCCCCCTCCCACCACCACCAGCCTCTGAGATGTGGCAGATGCTGCAGGAGCTTCGATCCAACCAGAAGACAAGAACTCAGGGTGAGAGACAAGTCTCAGGGTGAGAGAGAACTGGGGCGAGGGGCGAGGCGCGGTGTCGTACGTGTCACCACGAGGATGCCCTCCCTGAGACCAGCCCTGCCCTTTTGTGCCCCCTCAGACTCTGGGCTCTCCTGGGACCTGGACAGACTCCGAGAGGATCTGAGCAACTTCAAGTCCCAGAGTGAGGCTTGGGAGGGGCTGGGAGGGAGAGGGCCAGGAGGGGGAGGGGGAGGGCGAGGGGCTACCCGGTGGTATCTGAGCGCTGCCCGGCCCCCCAGGCTTGAACGAGAGGCGCACCGCCTCCGATTTGCTGGAGCGACTGCAGGAAGAGGTGGCAAAGCTATGGATGGAGATCCTGGTGTCTAACGGTGAGTAGGTGCATGTGTGTGTATATGTGTGCATGCATCCATGCCTGTGCGTCGTGCAGGGGCTGGTGTGGGACTGGCCAGGGCCTGTAGCAGCAGGTGTGCACTGTGTGTGTGTGTGCATGCAGCGGACGGCATGGGACAGCACACATGTGGCAGCATGCACATGTGTGTGTGATGTGAGGCAGTGGCGTGTCACTGGAGTGTAAGTTCATGGCAGGCCAGGACAGATGCAGGGCACATGAAAACGCCCATTCCAGTCTCTCTGACTTCCCTCCACCAACTCCGGGTGGGGGTGGGGCTCCCACGCCCTCCAGCGCTGACCACCGCTCGACCCCCATTGCTGCTGTTCCCTCTGCCCAATGAGCCAGAGGGCTCCTCAGCAGGCTTGCCTGAGCCGCAGCCCTCGTGGGAGACTGGGTGGCTGTGCTGCAGGGGGGTCGTGTCTACAGGGATGGGGGCAGTGGCCTCTCCCCCAGTGGCCGGCAGAGAGAGCCACTCTGAATGTGGGGTGGGAGTCCTGCCCTTGATTTTGGGTCTTGCACCTTTGGGAAGCCCCAGTTGCCCCCATCCAGCGAGAGAAAAGGCGTGGAGTTCCTGTCCCCTGGGATGTGGGGTGGCTCTGGGAATCCCAGCAGGAAACCCCACAGTGGTCCCCTTGGGGTCGTACTCATGCTCAGGTCACCTCCTGGCTCCTCCTCGGTCTCTGAGGCCCTCCTCCAAAGTCTAGCCCCGTAACCTGGAGACAGCCACAATGCTTTCCAGAAGTTTCCTTAAGGGCTCCTAGATGGTTTCTCCTCTTCCCGCTCCTCCCCCTCCCCCTCCTCCCCCTCCCCCTTCTCCTCCTCCCTCTCCCCCTCCCCCACCCTTCCCCCTTCTCTTCCCCCTCCCCCTCCCCTTGTCCCTCCCCCTACTCCCCCTCCCCCTTGCCCCTTCCCCTTCCACCTTCTCCTCCTCCTCACCCTCCTCCTCCTCCTCTTCTTCTTTTTAAGATTCATTTTATTTATTTGAATGACAGAGTTAGAGAGAGAGGTGGGGGGTGGATCTTCCATCCACTGGTTCACTCCCCAAATAGCCACAATGGCTGGAGCTGAGCCTATCTGAAGCCAGGAGCTTCTTCCAGGCTCCCGCATGGGTGCAGGGGCTCAAGGACTTAGGCCATCCTCCACTGCTTTCCCAGGTACATTAAGAGAGGGCCAGATTGGAAGTGGAGCAGCCGAGACTTGAACTGGTGCCCACATGGGATGCTGGCACTGCATGCCTGGGCTTTAACCCCCTGCACCACAGCACCAGCCCCTCAGGGACAGTTTCCTCCCATTTGAGTGCTGCACTGTCAGAGGGCTGGGTGCTGGTTCTGGTTTCCTGGCAAGAAGCTGGCCCAGGACAACCCCCTTGAAAAATCAAGGCAAAGGGACCCTCCCTCCCTATCACTGTAAGAAAATCTACTTGAAAGTGAGATGGAGTTCACCCAGCAGCAGGGGCTTAGTCCCCAACCTGGGAGGGTTGGTGACAACAACAGTGCCTGAGTCTCCCCAGAGTAAGGGAGAAGGGAAGAAGGGACCCAGCTGACCCCTGGAGAGCTGGTGTGGAGGTGCTGCCCACGATGCTCACAAGGGGCCTAACTGGAGCTGCTGGTGGCGACAGTGGGGACTGTAAAGCCGCGAGCCATGGCCACAGCACTCCCTTCTGTTGCTGCTGGTGATTAGGATGTGGTTGGTGTGATCGGAAAAGTCGGTGTTGGAGATGGTGTAGGTAGTGGTGGGGATGTTGTTGGCTTTGGAGATGTTTGTAGTGATGGTATGGAAGTTCTTCCTGTCATGGAGATGTTTGAGATAACAGTGTGGGTGGTTGAGGTTCTTCCTGTCAAGGAGGTGTTTGTGGTGATGGTTTTGGAGGTACTTCCTGTCATGGGGGTGTTTGAGATGGTGTTGGAGGTACTTCCTGTCATGGGGGTGTTTGTGATGGTGTTGGAGGTACTTCCTGTCATGGAGGTGTTTGAGATAACAGTGTGGGTGGTTGAGGTTCTTCCTGTCAAGGAGGTGTTTGTGGTGATGGTGTTGGAGGTACTTCCTGTCATGGAGGTGTTTGTGATGGTGTTGGAGGTACTTCCTGTCATGGAGGTGTTTGTGATGGTGTTGGAGGTACTTCCTGTCATGGAGGTGTTTGAGATAACAGTGTGGGTGGTTGAGACACTTCCTGTCATGGAGATGTTTGTGATAACAGTGTGGGTGGTTGAGGTACTTCCTGTCATGGAGGTGTTTGTGATGGTGTTGGAGGTACTTCCTGTCATGGGGTGTTTGTGATGGTGTTGGAGGTACTTCCTGTCATGGAGGTGTTTGTGGTGATGGTGTTGGAGGTACTTCCTGTCATGGGGGTGTTTGTGATGGTGTTGGAGGTACTTCCTGTCATAGGGGTGTTTGTGATGGTGTTGGAGGTACTTCCTGTCATGGAGGTGTTTGTGATGGTGTTGGAGGTACTTCCTGTCATGGAGGTGTTTGTGATGGTGTTGGAGGTACTTCCTGTCATGGAGGTGTTTGTGATGGTGTTGGAGGTACTTCCTGTCATGGAGGTGTTTGTGGTGATGGTGTTGGAGGTACTTCCTGTCATGGGGGTGTTTGAGATGATGAATTTGGGTGTTCCAAGTACTTCCCATCGTGGAGGTTTTTGTGATGATGGTTCTGGTGGTTGCCATGAGGCTAACCACAGAGGTATTTGTGGTGAAGGTGTTGCTGATGACAGTGGTGGCTGTGGTAGAGGTTGATGGTTGAGGTCCTGCTAACCACAAAGGCATTTGTGGCGATGGTGTCAACGGCACAGGTGCTAATGGCCAGGAATGTTGTGGTGACTTCTGGTTGAAGTGTTGTTGAACATGAGCATGTTGTGGTCATGGAGTTAGCAATTGAGGTGTTACTGACAGCAGAACTGGTGACCGAAGTGTTGCCAACCATGGCTCTATGGGGATACTTCAGAGAGCTTGTGGAAAATGTGTATTATGGAAAACTACGCATGGATTTCAAAAGGTTTCTGCACCAGAAATCCACTTTTTCATGAGCTTTTTGGAGTCCCCTCATATGGATAGCAAAACCATCAGCAACTGAGATGCCACTGGCCGTGGTGTTTACAGTGATGATGATGGAGGGGCTGGTGGAGATGTTGCTGGCAGTTACGTTGTTGATAGCTACAAGATGCCGATGGTGATGGGGCTGGTGGCTGACGTCCTGCTAACCATGGGGGCGTTGGTGGCCACCAGTGCTGCTGAGTGAGCCAGTCCGGGGTGTCAGCATCAGAGTGAGCTCACCCTCCAGGCTCTGGGCTGGGTCTGCTGTCAGCTGGAACTTGGGAATGACCCTGGGAGAGATGTCGCCCCCTGAGCCTCCCCTCTGTGTGCAACCCCAGGCTCCTCGTGCAACACGTGCCCGGAGAACTGGGTCCATTTCCAGCGCAAGTGCTACTACTTCGGTGAGGGCTCCAAGCAGTGGATCCACGCCCGGTACGCCTGTGACAACCTGCAAGGGCGGCTGGTCAGCATCCACAGCCAGGAGGAGCAGGTGCCTGGGCTCGGGCTGTGGCTGGACCGTCCCCACCACAGCCTCCTGGAGCTGGTGGGCAGGATCCGGGCACATTGCCCCAGTCCTTCAGCCCTGTCCTCCCTCCCCCTCTCCCTACCAGGACTTTCTGGCCAAACACGTCAGCAAGAGGGGCTCCTGGATTGGCCTTCGGGACCTGGACATAGAGGGGGAGTTTATCTGGGTAGACGGGAGCCGGATGGACTACAGGTGAGAGGGCTCAGGTTCAGGCAGGGTGTGCCCTGCGGTACAGGAGGGCGGGCACGGGAGGCCCTGGTTGGGGGGCAGAGGGGGCTGGAGCTCCGGGCACTGACGGGGAGGGAGTGTCCCGGGGGCAGCCTCACCCAGGGGGACCCGTGGTGAGGGTCGTGGGGGTGGCCCCGACTCCCAGGGATGCAGCCAGGCTGCGGGGGAGAGAGCTCCTTCTCCTTGCCACATCGTCTGACCCCGCACCGTCTGCTCCAGCAACTGGCACCCGGGGGAGCCCAACAACGGGGGCCAGGGCGAGGACTGCGTGATGATGCAGGGGTCGGGGCTGTGGAACGACGCCTTCTGCCGCAGCCTGCTGGATGCCTGGGTGTGCGAGCGCCTGGCCACATGTGGGCCGCGCAGAGCCTGAGGGCCCCTCCCCCACCCTGCCCGGCCGGACCCCGAGGACCCCCAGCCAAGCCTGAGATGCCTGCTGAATGCTGAGGCGATCTGGGGGTGGCTGACCCACTCCGCTCCACAGCACCCAGCCCTGCAGGGAATGGCACGGAGATGCCACCTGCAACCTGAGTGCTTCCTCTGTGGCCCCCGTCTGGTCAGGAGCATCCCCGCCCACCCAGCACGACACCTGCCTCCCACACCGGAGGGCCTGGGTTCAAGTCCACGCTCCGCTCCTGACTCCGGCTCCCTGCCAATGCGCACCTGGGAGGCAGCAGTGACGGCTCCAGTACTGGGGTCCCTGCCAGCCACGCGGGAGACCCGGAGGGAGTTCTGGGCTTCTGACTTCAGCCTGACCCGGCCCTGGCTGTTGGGGACATTTAGGAAGTGAACCAGCAGATGGAAGCCTTTCAAATACAATAAAATGGAATACTTCTGTCCCCTGTGAGAGGCCCGGCTGCACCGGCTCACTTCCCTCCCCTCCTCCTCCCGCCACTGCTCATCCTGGGGCACTTGTCTCTGCCTCTCCCTCATCCCTGCCTGTAAACCTTCTAGAAGTTTCCTTCTGACTTGAGAAAAAAGCCAAAGCTCTACAGGACCCCTTGAAGCTGGTAGGATCCCAGCTACCCACCCCCCACTCCAGGGTCCTCACTGTCCCTTTAACACAGACTGAGCCCACCTCGGGGCCTCTGCACGTGCCGTTCCCCAAGTCTCTGCTGCCCACGAGGCCTGTCCCGAGCACCCCTTCCCCCACCTAAAATGACACCCCAACTCCATGCCCCCTGCTGTACTTTCTCCCCATGTCCTACTCCGCAAAATACAGCCTTCCCTGGTGGGCTTCTCGCCCATCTCCCCCAGGGCAGCTGCCTCTCTCTCCTTTTCTGTTGGGTCTCCCAGGCGTGGTGCTTAGTAGGTGCTCAGTAAGTATTTGCCAAGCTAATCAATCTGTGTGGCCATGGACAAGCCACCTCTCCTTTCAGAACCTGTGTTGTGGACCGAGGAAGGAGGTGATGTGGCTTCTCGGGCTCACCAAGGGCCGGTGCTGAACTCGCCTTCTTTCCCCTCCCCACCCACCCGTGGGGGCCCTAGGGAGACCCTCCTGGCAGCCCAGGGCACCCGAGTCACAGCCACTGCGATGGGAAGCTGCCCACCAGCGCCAGCCCCAGTCCAGTGTCCATCCAAACCCTCCCCACCTCAGGGCCTTTGCACGTGCTGCCCCCCCAAGAGCCCTCTCTTCCCCCTCTGCAGATCCTGGGGCAGCCCCTCCCCCCTCCCATTCCGGATTCCCTCAGGGAGCAGCCTGTCTCCTCACGTTTCTCTGGCATCCTTCAGTGCTGGCCGTGCCATCCCAGCGTCCTGTCACCTGGCCCCGGCCCAGGCAGGTCCAGGGTGCCCAGGGCCTGCCTTGGGCTCCGTGATCTGTTTCTCAGAGCAACCACCCTCCTTCCCTCCTCAACCCATGCACCTGTCGGCCTCCTAGGCTCATTCAGATCCAGGCTGTCACCTGCTCCGGCCTCCCTAACTGCACCCTGGGTCCACTCCCCCACCCCACCCCCAGCCTACAGCTACTCCATGGCCACCCCCCATGCTACCAAGGGCAGGTGCTTCCGTTTCTATTTATTCTTCCCGACAGGAAACCCACCTGGGCTCACTGCCTCTGCCAGCAGCCAGAGGCGGGGGTGGAGGAAGTGTCCTAAACAGCACGTCAAGAGCTGCCCTCCCCAGCCTTAAACTTCCCCCATCTGCGCCAGCGAGGCGCAGCCAGCCCAAGGCCCCTGCGGTTGTCAGAGCGGGCTTGCTCAGGGCCTGGGCGGGGAGAGGGAGGCGGGAAGATCTGGCGGCACCCCAACCCTGCAGGGACTTCTCTTTGGGAGGAAGAGTGCAGGGAGGTGGGAGAGCTGCCTGGTGCGTGGTGCCAGTTTTTGGATAAGGAAAATGTGGTCCCATATTGCCATGTGTTTTAAACTTCGGCGGCAGTGGCAGACCAAGCAGTTCAGGTGGCCAGGTCCCACACGGGAGTACCCGGGTTCAAATACGGGGCTCCAGCTTCCCGCTAACGCACACCCTGGGAGGCAGCGGCGATGGCTCAAGTACTTGGGTCCCTGCCACCCACGTGGGAGACCCAGATGGAGTTCCTGGCTCCCAGCCCAGCACCGGCTGCTGCAGGCAATTTGGGCAGTGAACCAGCAGATGGGCGCTCTCTCTCCCATCAACAAAAACTCAGAATAATTATAGAGTATTTTAAGTGTCTGGACGACTCTGGGTTCCTCTCTCCTTGAGGATGCCCTGGGGGTCCGGCAGCCTCTGGACCCAGCAGACCTGGAGGCGGCCAGGGGAGGCTGCGCCCCAGGCCACGCCCACTCCCCTACCTGCTGTCTCAGCCTGCCCCTCCCCCCCACCATAAGCACCAGCCCAGAGGCCGGGACCTCACCGCCCCAGCCCCCCATACAAGACACTGGCCACAGGGTGCTCTGCATCCTTTATCTCCCTGCCGGTCAGCGGCCTTCCAGGGCCCGGTCGCGGGCGATGACCGCCTCCTCGAACTTGATCATGAGCGTGGTGCCCTTGTGCCAGTGCGCCGTGACCTTGGCCGGGAAGCCGCTGTGCGTGAGCACGGCCTCCACGATGCCCGCCGTGAAGCTGGCGCAGTTGAGCGTGCTGTTCTCCTTGGGCACCGAGATGTAGGTGTTGATGAGGGGCTCGCGCTCGATGATGTAGAAGGTGCGCGCGTCGTCGTTGGCCTGCTCCAGCTTGTCGGCCTCCTTCCCGAACAGCGCCTTCCACACGGCGCCCTTCACGAACAGCAGCGCGCCCAGCACCTTGGTCTCGCGCCGCGCGCCCTTCTCGCGCGCCACCAGCGCATCCAGCACGCGCGCGCCCACCTGGCGGCCCAGGGCGGCCAGGCGCGCCTGCAGCTCGGCCACCGAGAAGACGCGGCTCTGGCAGTGCTGCACCAGCTCGGAGAAGAGCAGCGCGAAGGCGCTCAGGCTCACCTCGGTGCGCGGCCGCGCCAGCGCGCGCTCCAGCAGCGCCGACTTCCCGCGCGTGAAGCGCGCCTCCATGCCGCCGCGGCCCTGCGGGGAGACGCGCGCACGCGGGCGTCGGCGGGCGAAGGGGCAGGGGTGTCCCTGCCACCCCCCCCCCCCCGACTTCCCTTAGCCAGCCAGAGACAAACGTGGGAGGGACCGACTTACCCCCTGGGCGGACAGGGGAACAACAGGGGACCGGAAGGGGGAGTTGGAAGCCACCCCAACCCTGGCGCTCCAGGCAACTATTTCAGCAAAGCAGCTTCATGCCCGCTCTCACGGCCACCTACGGTAGGAGTAAAGAGACACCTGGGGCTTAGGGGCGGGGGCGTCAAGCCAGGTGGCGTCAAGACAGGTGGCAATCAATCGCTCGCCATGCGCTCCAGCACGGACCACCCCAGTGAGCCAAAGAAATACGGCCGGGGGTAGGAGTGAGCCAAAACCACAGGCCTAGAGGGTCTCGGAGCACAGCCGAGACCCACGGGGCGAGCCAGGAAGGGGCGCGGGCCACGCCCCGCCTCCAACCCTGCACAGCTCCGAGGGGCACGCAGGAAGCCCGCCTCTTGCGAGGGCCACGTGGAAGCGCCTGCGTTCTCCAGACGCGAAGGAAGAGGCCAGCGAAGAGGTCAGGAGCCCCCAGCCCCACGCGAGAGCCTGGCGGCGGCTGGGAGAAAGGCAGAACTAGAGGGAGGGAAAGGAGGGGCCCGCTTCCAGACACGGGGTTTGGGGAAGCCAGGAGCCGAAGATGTGGGTGCGGGAAGAGAGGTGGGAGGGGGTAAGGACCCCCGTCCCACCCTCGCCCACTGCGGTTGGAGCTGCTGCCCTGGTGGGGGGCGGGGAGAACCCCGCCCCCATCACGCACGCAGCAGGCCAGAGCCCGTTGGGGGGGGGAGGCTGGGAATTTTGAGGGGTTCCCAACAAGGTCCACGTCGGGGGTGCGAAGGTCAGCGATGGGAGGGGGCCCAGGGGCAGCACAGCCGCGAGATGGCAGAGGGAAGTAATCGAGACCCTGCCTCTGCCGGGCTGCAAGGAAGGGGGTGACCTGGGCCGGGACCCCCAACTCCCCAGCTCCGGCTGGGAGTGTGAGCAGGGGAGGAGCCCACCCTCCCTCCGCGCGACCACCCACGGCGATCCCGAGCGGATCACAGGTGGACACTGTGACATCGGCCCAGAACCCATAGGTCCAAGGGGCTGGGGTCCGGGAACCCAGGAAGGCCCCGGGTGGGCAGGGGCCGCGGGCAGGCCGGGTCTCACCTGCAACTGCGGCCGTCGGTTCCGCCGAGGTGCTTTACGGCGCCGTAAAAGGTGCGGCGGGCGCAGGCGCGCGGCGGGCCGGGCTTGTAGGCGGGGCGCTCAGGGTAATAGCCGAGAGCTGCCGCAAGGGGGCGCGCGAAGCCTGCTGCTTAGGTCGAGGCTGTGCCGGGGTGGGGACCGCCCTGGCCGCTGTGGGCCCAGCCTGCTAGCTGTGTGGGCATCTGTTCTGCAGCCGTGAGCCTCGGGCTCGTTGAGGGTATCTCAAAGCGTGCAGTGGAAAATGGAATGGAAAGATAAAATTGGGGCGTGGTAATGAGGCCACTGCTTCCAGCTCCCTGCTGATGCACCCCCTGGGGGGCAGCTGGGGACGGCTCCATTGCTGGGGTCCCTGCCACCCAGGTGGGAGCCGGGTATTGAGTTCTGGGATCCTGGCTCCAACCCAGCCCCAGCCCTGCTTTTGCGGGCATTTGGGGAGTGAACAGCGGGTAGGAGTTCTCCGTCTCTGTTTCTCTGTCCTTCAAAAATGAAATGAAATGAAATTAATAAAAGTGAAAAAAAAAAAGGCAAATAAAGCTGCCACCTGTGATGCCAGCACCCCATACGGGTTCCAGTCCGGGCTGCCCCACTTCCAATCCAGCTCCCCGTTAATGTACCTGGGAAAGCAGCTGAGGATGGTCCAAGTCCATGGGCCCTGCACCCACATGGGAGACCCAGAAAAGCTCCTGGCTTCCATTTGGCCAATTGGGGAGTGAGCCAGCAGGTAGAAGACTCTCTCTCCCTCTCCTCCCCCTCTCCCTCCTGTTCTCTCTCTCTCTCCCTCTGTAAAACTCTGCCTTTCAAATAAATAAATTATTCTTTAAAATGCAAGAAAAAAGGTAAACCTATTTTGGTGCAAAAGAATTTTGAAATTTGTGCATACAAGGGATCTTTAAAAATTTTCCTTTAGGGAGAAAGAGTTTAGCCGAGGGTCAGACCCCTGCATCTTGGCAGAGTCCGTGCCCTGGCTCCCCAGATCCCGCTTGACCCCAGCTTGACCCTGGGAGGCAGCAGGGATGGCTCAAGTAGTTGGGCTCCTGTCACCCACGCGGGAGACCTGGTGGAGTGCCCATCTCCCAGCTTCTCCCTGGCCCTGCTCCAGCTCTTGGGGGCATTTGGGGGAGAGGTGGGGGGGACCAGTCAATGGGAGCTTGCTCGCTCGCTCTCAAAGAAATAAACTTTAATTGTATAGAAAATTCATATTATAAAAACCCATGCATGACCTTCATAAAAAATAATAAACTCGTCTTGAGCAGGCGTTTGGCCCAGTGGTTAAGCTGCTACTTGGGCCACATCCTATGGCAGCAGGCCTGGGTTCGAGGCCCAGCTCCATCCCTGGCTCCAGCTCCCTGCTGATGGCGGTAATTCCAGTGAGGGCTCAAGTGCCTGGAACCCTGCCACCCACGTGGGAGACCCAGAGGGAGTTCCCAGCAGCAGCTGTTAGAGGCATTTGTGGGGTGAACCACCAGCACATGGAATGCCCCCTCCCCCGCTCCGTCCCTCTCTTCTTCCCCTCTCTGCCTTTCAAATAAACAGAGTTTTTTAGAGAGCCTTTAAAATCAATCCATCTTTCCCTTCCGTTTTCCATGGATGCTTTGAAGTACCCTCCTACAGTCTTGGACATGAGCCGCTGAGCAGAGACACACCTGTGCACAGTTACACCCATGGGGGACATGGAACGTGGCAGACTGTGTACCCTGGGGGACACACGTGCGCTCATGACCACACGTGGGGGCACAGGGACCCGCGCAAGGCATACAGGCTCGCCCACCCTCCAGTCCCGGGGTTCCCAGCATTGTGTCCACATCAAGTCACCCTGCAACTCACCCCCTCCCCCCAAGTCCCAGCACTAACGACTCCGCCTCCTCAGGGCCTGGAGGAGAAGCCACCTGGTTGTCCCTGTCTTCACGGGTCACAAAGTGGGGAGTGCAGAAGCAAATGGTCACACGTGTGCACATGCTCCAAACACACAGGACGGCATGACGCAGCATGTTCAGACTGACGCACACCTGTTCGCGCTGGCACAGGCAGCACCATGACACGCTCCACACGCACAGCACACCAGAGCACCCTCATTTGTGTCCACGCCATGGGGAGACAGGCTCATGCAATACATGTCCCTAACACGTACAGCGAGACACTTCTGGGGCCCTTGCTGTCACAGCCACCCACAGGAACACGCCTGTACCCACACAGCACACGTGTGTGTTGTGTTAGAGCGACACAGGTGTGCGCACCACACTGCCTGTGATTCCCGCCTCCATGATAGCCCATCAGCCCTTCTCGTGGGACACATGAAAACCTCCGCCCTCCACATGTGCACACATGTGCACACGTGTCACTCCACAGCACTCACCCCGACACCCGATTTTCTTATTGCTCTTTATTCGAGAGGCAGAGAAACAGAGAAAGGAGAGACAGACAAACAAGAGGTCTCACCTGCTGGTTCACTCCCCAAATGCCCTCAGAAGTTGGGGACAGAACCGGGAACCCTAGCCAGGTCCCCGACATGGGCAGCAGGAACCCAGCCCTTTGAGCTGCCTCCCAGGGTGTACATGGACAGGAAGCTGGAGTCTGGTATGGAGCCCAGAACCCTGATATGGGATGTGGGGGTCTTAACCACAGGGCTCCCAGCACAGCATTCTCTAGGTGGAGGAGGGACAGGGTCACACCGACTGGGAGCGGGGCCGTTTTCCGTCTTCCCTGGCAGGTGCCTCCCCGTCCTCCAAGCTGTGGTGGTAATGTCTTCTCGCTTGTTGAAGCCAGGGCTCTGGGGGACAGGGGACAGACCCCACGTCAGGGACAGTCCTGCCCACGGCTCCTCCCTCATCTACCTCCCAGGGGCCTCGCTTACATGGGTTTTCTTTTTTCTCCAGCTTTTCGAAGATTTTCTGTATGTTTTTGTTGATCTGGGTTATTTCTGGAGGGAGACGGGAGAGAGGTGGGGCTGGATTGAGGCGTCAGAGGAAGCCCCCACCATCACCCTCCCCAGGTGTTTTTTGGGGTTCCCAGCAGTGTTTAAGTATCCCCCGATGCTTAAAAAGCCTGAGGTGTGACAGAGTAGGACCCGGCTGTCCCTCCCCCAGAATCCTCAGCACCCAGGGCGAGGCTGGGCTCCAGCGTGCCGGTGCACCTGTCTTCAGCTTCTCAGTGCCGGCCTGCACTTTGTTTGCCACGCCCTGAATGCTGTTTGCAACCTCGTGAAGGAGGCGCTCCACGTTGCTCCAGCCGGTCTGCTGCTGCTCCTGGCACCGTTGCGTCCAGCTGGAGACTGAGGGCACGAAGCAGAGGTGTCCGTGTGGTGGCCGCCCCTCACCCAGGCTGTGCTGCAGCCCCTCTCCTGCACACCCTGCTCACCATTCCAAAGCTGCGTTCTCAAATCCTTCAGCTCCTCGGACATCTCAGAATCTGTTCAGGCAGGGGCAGGGAAGCCTTGATTGATGCTCTCTTGGGAGCAGACTTGGGTTGGAGAGAGACAGGGCAGAGAGCCTGGGCTCCCCAGCTGCTCCCATCCCCCCAACAAAACAAAACCAAAGCAGCACTCACACTTCACCAGGACCAAGGCTGAGAGGATGATGCAGAGGAGGAAGGCCAGCGCAAGGAGGATGTACAGGCTCATGATGGCTTTGTACAGCCACTGGGGGACCTGGGCGGTGTCCGAGGGTGGCCTGGGCTGGGCTGCGCCTGGACAAAGGCAGGCCCGGGGACCTTCAGGGCTCAACCCCGCCAGGGGACCCGTGACACTATCCGTAACACCGTCCACAGCTGGCTCTTCCCAATGGCATCAGCATGTGTGACCGCTGGTGACATTCGCCGTCGCCATCAATGCTACCAGCATGTCACCATCATGGAACCCCCCCACCGCCGCCACCACCCAGGACAAGCCCCCTTGATGACGTCATCATCTACATCCACCAGCATCCATGGTTGCCAACACGGTCAGCATCAGCAGCTCCGTCGCCTATTCTGTCCTGATCCACCACTTTCTCGCACTCATTCTCACCGGCGATCAACCATCACCCACCACGGACACCATCACCATTCCCAATGCCTCCACCGTCCCTCCTGCATGCTCCCTCCAAGGCTGCGGGGCACAGGCAAGCGGGCGTGTGCTCACCTTGACTCGTGGCTGACGGTGCATCCCCGCTCCTGGGCTGGTCGTGGTTTCTGCGGGTCAAGGTGATGTTCTCGTAGTCAGGGTCATGGTCACCTGTGTGTGATTCAGTGGCAGGGATGGTGCAGACCTACTCAGAGCTCTTTGTACACCCCAACCCCAGCACACGACAAATTTCTGGGATCACAACCTGCTCCACGGGTAAGCCGAGCAGGTGTATGAGGGTCTGAGTGACAGATGCACACACACCTCGGAGGGAAAGGAACCCCTCAACCCCCGCTCTCAGCCCCTCCCCTCTCCTCTCCCACTGCAAGGCTCTTTACCTTCATCACTGGCTGGCGCCACCTGTTTCTTGGCTCTGGGGAGCGCCGCTTGCATTTTGAGCTTCTGGTTCATGTAGATTTTCTCGGCCTCCATGGTGCCCGGGCTACCCGTGTGTCCACACACATCCCCGCCCAGCGGAAGGCGCCTAGGCAGAAGAGGATCTATAGCTAGGGGGGAGGAGAGAGGGAGGCCAGGCGCCTCTTTGCAGGGATCCACAACCCTCCCACCCTAGGACATCCTTACCCACCCAGATTAACAGGGAAGGCCAGAGGTCTCAAAGAGAAATGGCTAGCCCTGACACAGAATGTTTCAGAACTTTCCAGAACGTTCAGGAAGCTGTGTGTGTGTGTGGGTGGGTGGGTGGGTGGGTGGGTGTCTGCCTGCATGAAATCCATCCTCTCGCCTTTCTCTTGGTCTCACGAGAGAACCTACGAGAACACAGAGTCCTACCTTTTAGAGCAAGGGCATCCAGGCTTGGAGGCAGGGACCCTGGGTCACCCCCAACCCTGTCCCATCCCTTGCACGCCCCAGTTCCAGCCCTCAGCCTCGCCCTCAAGGGCTTCTGCTTCTCCAAGGCCCCACTGAGGGAAAGAAAGGAAGTGAGTCAACAGGGGCTAACCACGAGCGCACCACAACCGCCCACTGCTGGGGCTAAGGTCAGACCCACACCCAGGCCCCTGCCTGGACGGAGCCCTGGAGGGGCAGCCGCTTTCCACCTGGAGACCCCAGATCTGTCCACCCGCCTGCTCCCCCAGCCAGCCGCACAAGCACACACACGTGCACACATTCCCTCCCAGCACCCTCGGCCATCAGTATGCTCCATCATTTGCATATTCCTGTACATGTCCCATGGTCATTTGCATACTGCGTATATACACGGGCATGCATCCACACACCTGTCCTCTGTCGGTGTCTCGATGTGCTCTGTGTTCACCTGACCTTGAAAATGGAGCTACAAGAGGTTCAGGGTACTGGCAGTGTCTTTACAGCTAAACCTACAATATGAGCCATGTGTTTAATGTAAACTTTCCTTTCTGAAATGTTGCATGTGTCCATCGGAGAGAAACAGCATCCATGCACTGGTTCATTCTCCCCATTGCTTGCAAAAGCCACAGTTGGGCCAGGCTGAAGCCAGGAGCCAGGAACTTCCTTTGGGTCTTCCATGTGGGTCACAGGGGCCCAAGCACTTGAGCCATCACTGCTGCCTTCCCAGGCCATGAGCAGGAAGCTGGATTGGAAGTGGAGCAGCCGGGACTCAAACCAGGCCCTCTGATATGAGTTGCAGGTATCCCAGGCAGCATCCTAGTAGCTGTGCCACATGCTCACCCCTTATTTAAGCCTTTATAGCCCTCACATTAAAAAGGGAAAAGAGGTACACCAAATTAACTGTGATCCTGTTTTTATTTAATGCATCCAATAATCCAAATAATTTGATGCATCCAGTAACGTATTTCGCATGTAGACAGTATTTTAAAATTATTTAGTATGTAGCCGGCGCCGTGGCTCACTAGGCTAATCCTCCACCTTGCGGTGCTGGCACACCGGGTTCCAGTCCCATTCGGGGTGCTGGATTCTGTCCCGGTTGCCCCTCTTCCAGTCCAGCTCTCTGCTATGGCCCGGGAGTGCAGAGGAGGATGGCCCAAGTACTTGGGCCCTGCACCCACATGGGAGACCAGGAGAAGCACCTGGCTTTGGATCAACGCGATGCGCCAGCCGCGGCGCCATTGGAGAGTGAACCAACGGCAAAAGGAAGACCTTTCTCTCTGTCTCTCTCTCTCACTGTCCACTCTGCCTGTCCAAAAAAAAAAGTAACAAAATTATTTAGTATGTAGACAGTATTTTAAAATTACTAACGTAATAGTTTTGATTCTTTTGTGTGTGTGTGTGTGTGCTGTCTTGGAAATCAGTTGTGGATTTCTACCTAAGACACATCTCAGTTCGGACTGGCCACAAGACAAGTGCTCGTGGCTGCTATTGGACAGTGTAAGTCTAGAGTGTTGCACTTTTCTTTCAAAATGAGAAGTAGGGGCTGGCGTTGTGGCAGGTAAGGCTGCTGCCTGTGATGCCAGCATCCCATTAGAACACTGGTTCAAGTCCCGGCTGCTCCATTTCTGATCCAGCTCCCTACTAATGGCCTGGGAAAAGCAGCAGAAAATGGCCCAAGTGCTTGGGCCCCTGCCACCCATGTGGGAGACCCAGATGAAGCTCCTGGCTCCTGGCTTCTGCCTAGCCATTGTGGCCATCTGGGGAGTGTATCAGTAGATGGAAGACTGATCTTGGTCTCTCTCTCTCTCTCTCTCTCTCTCTCTCTCTGTAGCTGACTTTCAAAATAAATGAATAAAAATTTTAAGAAATGAGAAGTGTAAGCATTTGCCTAAAGTCAAGACAACTTGGGAAAGTCGCCAAATCCTGCCTCCCCAAGGAAGATCAATCGAGTGGGGATTCAAGCCAAGCTCTTCCATCAGATCTTAGAAAGAAGTCAGCTGTTGAGTTAGACCTCTGATTGCTGATGTAACAGGAGAAGGACCAACTGGGAGCTGGCTCTGCTGTGATGGACAGGTGGGGGGCGGAGCCACATGTCTTGTAGGGATGGAGCTGGAATGAGGCTCCAACCCTAGAAACACACAGGCAACCGTGTCACCTGGGAAACATCCATGGCGTTGCCTGCCCAGCACCCACCATTCATGGGGTAACTCTCTGTTTTAAGAAAGAAAATGTACCCTAAATCCCACCAACCACAAACCAGTGATTGGCTTGGGGTGAGCATATGAGCCAATCAGAGCCTAAGGTTTGGCACGGTGGCGGGTATCTGAACCAGACTCAGCCAATGAAGCTCTGATCTGAGACTTTCGTTGGATAAACCAGGAAAAAAGGAATTCTCTCTTTACCCCTCGCCACTGGGGCTCCCAGACTCAGCAGATGCGAGCCTGGAGTTGCGACAGGGAAGAAGCTACCTGAGACTGAAGCCAGCATGCAGGAAAGCAGAGATGGAGTCTGGATCCTAGAGACACCTGGATCCAGCCACGCCTGCACCTGTTGCTCTAGCCTTGGGCCTTCCAGTTACACAAACCAGAAACTTCCTTTCATTTTTGCTCAAGCTGGTTTGAAATGGAGATTGCAGCACTTGCAACCAGAAGGATCTTGCCTACCACAGAAGGCTAAACGTTGGCTAATGGGAAAATAAAAATTGCAGAAGGGGGCTTGTCCGAGTTTACCCAGGCGGATAACTACCCACAGTGGCACTCTGGGACAGGAAGATGATGGGTGTGAACTGAGGATTCTCTTGTTTATTCCTTTCAGAGAGAGAGAGAGATTTCCCTCTACTAGTTCACTCCCCAAAAGCCCACCATAGCCAGGGGCCAAAGCCAGGAGCCTTGAATTCCATCTGGATCTCCCACATGGATGCCAGGAACCCAATTACTTGAACCATAACCTGATTCCAGGAAGCTGGAACCAGAAGCAAATCTGGGACTTGAACCCAGGCAGTCTGATATGAGATGCAGGTTCCCAAGTGGCATCTTTTTTAAAAAAAAATTATTTATTTGAAAGGTGGAGCTACAGAGAGAAAGCAAGGAGAAAGAGAGCTTTCATTCCCTGGTTCACTTCCCAAATGGCTGCAATGACCAAGGCTGGGCTAGGCCAAAGCCAGGAGCCAGGACTTTATGTGGGTCTCCCATGTGGGTGGCAGGGACCCAAGTATTTGAGGTAAGTTCTATTGCATTAACAGGGAGCTGGATCGGAAGTGGGGCAGCCAGGACTGAAACTGGTGGGATGCCAGTGTTGCAGGTGGTGGCTTAACCTGGTGTGCCACAACCCTCCCTCTCCCCCTCCACCCCACAAGGGACATCTTAACTGCTGAGCCAAATGCCTCCCCTGGGACTGAAGAAGCCCTTCTTGGGGCCCAGGTATAGAAGCATAAATGGATGAAAGACACTTGGAGACAAAGAGGCCTTCACACCGAGGTCTGGGGACAAGGGAGTCTCCCCCAACGCACACATCAGCGAGGGGAAGGGGCGCACAAGGCACAAGACTCACCCTCTCTGGTCCTGGCCACACTTGGGTTTGTAAAAACAGCTTGATTATTAAAGAAGGGGGTGGGGGAGCATGTTTCCATCTGCCGGTTCAGTTCTCAAATGGCCACAACAGCGGGGGCCAAAGCCAGGAGCAGAAATTCCATCTGGGTCTCCCACATGAGTGGCAGGAGTCCAAGCGCTTGAGTCGTCCACTGCTGCTTTCCCCAGGCACATTAGCAGGAAGCTGGATTGGAAGCAGAGCAGCCGGGACTCAAAACAGCACTCCAACATGGAATGTGGGCATTGCAAGAGGCTGTTTAACCCACTGCTCCAAGACACCCATCCCGTGGCCACACTCCTGGCTCAGTGGTCCCGCCTACCCCTGTGGCCACAGTGGCATCAGGAGGGAGGGGACTCCTGGGTTGAAGTCCGGGTGGGCTCCATGGCCAGGTTTCTGATTCCTGTTCACAGCCACCGGGTCATCATGGGTTGGGGTTGGGTAGGAGACATCCTGAAAACCAGGTCCCCACCCTATCTCCTGTTCATCTGGGTCAATCAAGCAGGGATTTGAGGTGGGATGCTGGAGATTCTGAAACCTGTAGCTGCATCTCTCAAGGCTGGGTACCTGGCTCCTGGGTTGGGATTCCCTGGGACACAGGACTCCGAGTCACCTAGATATGTCCCCTCGGGGACCTGGGGCAGGGGACATTAAACCCCCAGGGTGTCAGGTACTGGTGCAGGCTGGCGTGGGGTCTCAAAGCTGGAAGCACAAGGGTCTGTGTGGGGCGTGTCTGCACCTGGGACTTGTGTCTGCTCTTCCCACATGAGCACCTCGCTGGTTTTCCATGTGTGTGCTGTGATGCTCTCCTGTGTCCCTGTGTGGCTGTCACCCTGTGGTTTCATTCCCAGGTGGCTGTGGTACCTGGGCTGTGCACTGGTGTGTGCACCCGGGGAGCATGTCTAAGCACACCCATGGTTACTTATCAAACATGTGCTGGGCACCTACTGTGTACACATGTGGTTATTCAGCATTTGCTGAGCACCTATTGTGTGCACATGTGGTTATTCAGCATTTGCTGGGCACCTATTGTGTGCACAGGCAGTTATTTATTGGGCATTTACTGAGCACCTACTGTGTGCACATGTGGTTATTCAGCATTTGCTGAGCGCCTGCTGTGTGCCATGCTCTATTGTAAACGCTGGGGATGCAGCGTTCACCAGGCTAGAAGTGCCCTGGGTGCCGCTGGCAGTAATAACTTGAAACCTCAGCTGCACAAGCAAAAACATGACCTTGTGATCCACAACCTCGCAGATTCCTGCCCACCCGTGACTGGGTGTCCCCTGGGCCTCGCAAAGTCCCTCCCTGCAGGTGCAGAGTGAGGGGTGAGGGGGCTCAGGGCTCTGGGCTCAGAGATGGTCCAGGGGCCCACAGTAACCCTAGGGCTGCTGGGAGCCTGGGACCCTGGTGTGGGGGGCCAGTCCTGTCCACTACCCAGACTGCCCGGATGCTGGGTGAAGACTTTCATGGAGGGGCGGGGTAGATGGGAAACAGAATCTGGGAAGCTGGAGACCTGAGGGTGACACAAAGTGGCCTCAGAGGTGACACTGACATCCCCACTTGCATGAGTGGGGGAGGGCTTTGTCACTGGAGGGGGAGGTCCCGCCGCTGGAGGAAGGCGTGGGAGACACCACAGAAGCCAGAAGCGCCCCTCCTCCCTCCGGCATCCATGCGCCTTGCTCTCTTTGGAGACCCGACATGGGTCCCACGCCTTTCTGAAGTAACCGCCAACGTCTTCATCATCACCATCATTCCCGGTTTATTTCCAGCCCGTGCCCCCTCCCCCGGCGCGCTGGGCGCACGCATGGGCTCAGGCGTTAGTCCTGATGCGGCAGCAGCGCGCTCCGGTCCAGTCCATGCCCGCGCACTGGCAGTGGCACGTGGTCTCCGCGCGCACGTCCCACGAGCCGCAGGCGGAGCCACAGGTGCAGCTGGTGACGGAGTAGCCTGTGGGCGGCAGCGGGGTTGCGGAGACCGTCGGAGCTGGGGGGCCGCGGGGCTTGGGAGTGGGGGTCTGGGAGCTCGAGGCGCAGGCCAGAGAAGCCTCCCTGTGCACGGAGCAGGAGCGAGAGGCTGGACAGCTAAGTGCCTTGAGGAAGTGGGGTCCCGTGGGGGTGTGGGGCACAGCCCGGGGCTCTGGGCCAGGATCCCAGGGAAGTGGAGGCTGAGCCCCCACAGAGGTTGGACGTTGGAGGAGGGGGCATTCCTCCTAGATGACAGGTGCACTCACCTCCGGGACAGGTGGCCAGGGCCCCCCTGGAGGTGACAGTGCGGCATTCCAGGTTCAGGCTCCTCGTTCCACTAAGAACTGAGGGGAGGGGGCCGGGGTGCAGTGTGAGACTATGTTCTTCCTCCTCTGGGAGGTTTGCGGACAGGAAGGGGGCAACCAGGCGATCCGGGCCGAGGCGTCATGCCCACCACCTCCCAGGACCCCATGGCTTGCTTGAGGGTTTGGGACTAAGGCGAGGTTTGGGGGTGACTAATGGGGTTGGGTTTGGAACTGTGGTTAAAGGTTGGGTTGAATGGGGGGATGAGGATTGGGAGTGAACCTGTGATCAGAGTGGCTGTGAGGTTGGGATTTGGGGGTGAGGTGGGGTCTGGTCAGTGTCAGGGGTCACAGAGGCCTCTAGAGGATGGAGTTGAGTGTGGGGATCCTCACACAGGGAGCTGGTGCCGTCCTTGATCTTCTCGTTGATGGCATCATCCACCGGACACAGTGACTCACTGGACACCAGCAGCCCCAGTGCAGGGAGGAGGAGGAGGAGGAGGGAGAGAGCCTTCATCATGCAGGCCCTGCAAGAAGGAACCAGGTCACGTGCCTGGGAGTCAGCCCCGTTCCAGCTGGGGGTGCAGGATCTGCAGTGCTGGGTCTCAGGTGGGGGTGGGGAACCACAGGGACAAGGGCCCAAGCTGTCACTTACCTTCCTGCTGCATTCAGTGGTCACGCTGGAGACACGGATTCCTGTGGCCTGTATTTATCTTTGAGGTCTCAGGGTGTGGGGCTTCCTGTCTTAGCTAATAAGTCTCTTGGTTCCTGAACCCCCCTTCCCATGTCCGGACCAAGGGGAAGCCCTGGGGAGGCTGCAGGGGCCCCGGGCAGCGGGGCGGAGGCTCTGCCACCTGCCGCGATCTCGCTCTCAAAGGAGAGGGGGAGATCCTCCCAAATGGAGGGTTCACTCCCTCAAATGGCCACAACAGCTGGCCAAAGCCAGGAGCCAGGAGCTCCACCTGGGTCTCCCGTGTGGGTGGCAGGGGCCCAAGCACTTGAGCAGTCCTCCACTGCTTTCCCAGGCACATTGGCAGGAAGCTGGATCAGAAGTGGAGCAGCTGGGACTCAAACCCATGCTTGGATGCAGGATGCGGGTCGCAGGTGCCTCAGTGGCCGCTTAGCCTGCGCAGCCCGGCATCTGCCTCTGCGAGGGAGTTCAGTATGGTGAAATGCATGTAATGGAAAATCTACGGCTGTAGCCAACTCCGTGACATTAAGTGGGTTTAGTGTTGTGCAAACACCAGTGTATCCGAAACTCGTCCATCTTCCCAGATGCGAACTCTGTCCCCTTTCAGCACTCCCCATTGCCCACCCCCAAACCCCAGCTCTCCCATCCCTCTTTCACTTCCTGTCTGTGGCTCCAACGGCCCTGGGAACCTCCTTTGAGTGGCAGCACACAGCGCTTGTCCTTTGTGATTGGCTGATTTCGCTGAGCATGATGGCAAGGTTTATCTGTGCTGTAGCGTGTTGGAATGCCTCTCCTTTTTGAAGGCTGAGTAATTTTCCATTTTCATAGATATACACATTTTCTTTATCTGTTCACTGATAGACATTTGGATTGTTTCTACCTTTTGGTTGTCGTAGATAATGTGCTGCTGTGAACATAGGTGTACAGTATCTATTTTTTTTTAAAGGTTTGTTTATTTGAAAGAGTTACAGAGAGGCAGAGAGAGAGAGAGAGAGGAGAGAGAGAGAGAGAGAGAGAGAGAGAGAGAGAGAGAGAATTCCATCCACTGGTTCACGCCCCAATTGGCCGCAATGGCCGGAGCTGTGCCAATCCAAAGCCAGGAGCTTCTTCCAGGTCTCCCATATGGTTGCTGGGGCCCAAAGACTTGGGCCATCTTCTGCTTTCCCAGGCCATAGCAGAGAGCTGGATCAGAAGTAGAACAGCAGGGTCTTGAACTGGTGCCCGTATAGGATGCCAGCACTGCAGGTAGCAGCTTTACCCACTATGCCACAGTGCCAGCCCCTGCAGTATCTCTTCTAAGTTATTTATTTGAGAGAGAACTCTCCATCTGCTGGTTCGCTCCCCAAAAGCCGCCACAACCGAGGCTGGGCTGGAGTCAGAGCCAGAAGCTGGGGATTCCACCCACCCAGGCCTCTCCCACGGGTGGCAGGGACCCAGCCAGGGTCTGCACTAGCATGAGAGCTGGGGTAGAACCAGGTGCTCCCACGTGGGATGCGGGCACCTGAGGCAGCGCCTTAACCACTAGGCTAAATGCCTTCTCCCGAATGTCTATTTTGAGACTTTGGTTTTCTTGGGTACATATCCAGAAGTGTCACTCCTAGTCCTGTGGCAAGCTCTATGCTTAGCTGTTGAGAAACCGCCTAACAGATTTTACATTCTTTTAATTGCTGGAACAACAAAAAAAAATTCAGTGTTCTATAATACATGAAATTTGGATGCCATTCTCCATCAATAAAGTTCACTTACAATATGTACACCCACTTCACTTTTTATTTATGGGAGGCCAGTGCTGTGACATAGTAGGCCAAGCCTCCGCCTGCAGTGCCAGCATCCCATATGAGCACTGGTTCTAGTCCCAGCTGCTCCTCTTCCGATCCAGCTCTCTGCTATGGCCTGGGAAAGCAGTAAAGGATGGTCCAGGTGCTTGGGCCCTGCACCTGCATGGGAGACCCAGAAGAAGCTCCTGGCTCCTGGCTTGGGTTCGGCCCAGCTCCAGCTGTTGTGGCCATTTGGGGAGTGAACCAGTGGATTGAAGACCTCTCTCCCTCTTGGTGTCTCTTCCTCTCTGTCACTCTGCATTACAAACAAGTAAATCTCTTTTTCTTTAAGAAACCACAGAAACAAAGTATTCTGATTTTTAAAAGAATCAAAGAACAGTCCCGCTTATGAAATAAGCCTTCCTCGCACTCCCCACGCCCCCAGGGATGGGGGGTGGGTGGGCATGAGGCAATCCTCCCCTCCCCCAAGTGAGGGAGTATGGATGCGGGGGTGGGGTCATCCGAAATAAGATACCCCCCACCTCACTTCCGGCCCCCAGCAGACAACCAAGCCCAGAGTGACCCGGACCACCCCAGGCAGCTTTACCGACGGGAAAACCGGTGCTAGGTGCGGTGCAGCCACAAGAGGGCGCCTGTCCAGGTAGATTTTACAGTCGGATTTCTCTGGTGTTACAGTGTTACTTTTACCTTTTTTTTTTTTTTTGACAGGCAGAGTGGACAGTGAGAGAGAGAGAGAAAGGTCTTCCTTTTGCCGTTGGTTCACCCTCCAATGGCCGCCGCGGCCGGCACATCGCGCTGATCCGAAGCCAGGAGCCAGGTGCTTCTCCTGGTCTCCCATGTGGGTGCAGGGCCCAAGAACTTGGGCCATCCTCCACTGCACTCCCGGGCCATAGCAGAGAGCTGGCCTGGAAGAGGGGCAACCAGGACAGAATCCGGCGCCCTGACCGGACTAGAACCTGGTGTGCTGGCAGAGGATTAGCCTATTGAGCCACGGCGCTGGCACCTGTTTTTTGTTTTAAAAAATTTTGCTTATTTATTTAAGATTTATTCATTTATTATTTGAAAGGCAGAGTTACTGAGAGGCAGAGGCAGAGAGAGAGAGAGAGAGAGAGAGAGAGAGAGAGAGAGAGAGGTCTTCCATCCACTGCTTCACTCCCGACATGGCCACAATGGCCAGAGCTGTGCTGATCTGAAGCCAGAAACCAGGAGCTTCTTCTGGGTCTCCCACATGGGTGCAGGGGCCCAAACACTTGGGCCATCTTCCACTGCTTTCCCAGGCCACAGCAGGGCGCTGGACCGGAAGTGGAGCAGCTGGGACTCGAACTGGCACTCATATGGGATGTCAGCACTGCAGGCGGCAGCTTTACCCATTATGCCACAGTGCCAGCCCCTAAAAACTTTATTTGAAAGCCAGAAAAACAGACAGAAAGAGAGAGATCTCTCAGTGTGCTGGTCCACTCCCTAAACGCCAGCAACGGTGTGGACTAGGGGCCGAAGCCGGGAGCCAGGAACTGCATCCTGGTCTCCCACTTGAGTGGTAGGGACCCGAGTACTGGAGCCATCAGTGCTGTCTCCCAGAGTGCGCCTCAGTGGGGAGCTGGAGTCAGGAGCGGAGCCTGGAGCAGAACCCAGGCCCTCAGATGTGGGAGGCAGGCGCCCAAGCAAAAGCCCACTCACAGCCCTTCCTTGTAGCCAATGCTTTCCCCGACTCACATTGTGGCGGGACCCCCACTCCTCCCTCCACCCAGGATGCGCTGTCCCCTTCCTGCCTTACCCAGGGTGCCCAAGGTCCAGCATTCAAGGGTCCACGCTGGAGCCCCCTTCCTGGGCTCAAGTCCCCCGGCCACAGCCTTGAGCAAGGTGGCCAACCACCTCTGGCCTCAGCTTCCCCCTCCGTAAAATGGGAGCGTTACCAGTGACCACCTCCCTGGGCCGTGATGAGGCCTCGATTGCACGCCATAAAGGCTTTACCAATGGCACCTTTCCTTGCTGTCTTTCTAGAACTTTCTGAGCCTGCCATGGTGATGGAGACCCTGAGGGGGTCTCAGAAGGGAACTGCAGGCACCCAGGGGGGAGCGGCCCCTGGCTGTGACTTCCTTGTCCTGCCTGACCCAGCCCTGGGGACCCCACCTCTGGGGTTCCAGGAGCAGAGCCTTCGCCCCCTCACCGGGCCATTGCCTCACCTGACTCCTTTTCACAATGTTCCTGACAGCAGTTGGCTAACTTGCTTGGGAGGGTTTTGAGCAACTTTGCAGTAAGGGGTGGGGCGCGCTCCCAGCTTGCTCCACGGCTGGGTCTCCCCTCCTCCGGCCTCTGGTCTTCTTTCTTCACGGTTCGCTCTCTCGACAGCGTTCCCCCCGGCTGACTGAGTCACATCCGTGGCTTCCTTTTCTGCACCCTTGGGAGGCCTCCGCCCTTGCTGCCTGGGTCCCCGCTGACCCATCCCATCGCCACCTCCCCTGGCCCAGCCGGCAGCTCCAGAGAGGTCTTCCATCCTCTGATTCACTCCCCAAATGGCCACATGGCCAGGACTGGGCCAGGCTGGAGCAAGGAGCCAGGAGCTTCCTCTGGGTCTCCCACATGGGTGCAGGGGCCAAGCACTTGGGCCGTCTTCTGCTGCCTTCCTAGTGCGTTAGCAGGAAGCTGGATTGGAAGTGGAGTGGCTGGGATTTGAACCAGCATTCACATAGGATGCAGGCATCTCAGCCAGTGACTTAACGCATTAGGCCACAACGCCTGCCCCACCTCTTGTATTTTTTTTTAATTGAGGGAAGTTCAAGAACTCAAACCTGCACCTCAAATACTTCAGGACTTGGGAGGGCGCCTCAGAAAGTTTGGGGGGAAATGGTCAGTTTAGGGGCAGGCACTGTGGTTCAGCTGGTTAAGCCACTGCTTGGGATGCCAGCATCCCAGATGGGAGCACCGGCTAGCTTCATCAGCAGCTCCGCTTCCCGCCCAGCTCCCTGCTAATGCACCTGGGAGGCGGTGGTGATGGCCCAAGTGCCTGGGCCCTGCCGCCCACATGGGAGACCCAGATGGAGCTCCTGG